CTCTCTCCGGGCTGGGAAATGGCGTGGACCTGTGAGGAGCAGGGCTGGCTGGTGCTGGCCTCGACGCCCACACTTTCCCTGCCTCTGTGGACAGGCAAAGGAGGTTTTCTCCACCAGCTGAGAGTCCAGGTTCATTGAAGGCTAAATATCTTTGAGTAAGTCCAGGGAGGAGCGATGCAGGTTGCTTAGAAAAGAGTGGTGGAGATTTTTATGTGTATTATTTGAAATTTTTGTAGTCAAATCACTCATACATGATGCACAGCTATTTAATCCCCAAGACACGGGAGAAGGGCTCTAACGTGCACATTCCCTGTCCTGTGCAGCAGTACCATGATGCCCTCTGCGAAACTCCCCGTGCAACCTGCTGGCACAGCGTGTTGGGGCTTTTTCTTTTTAAATATTAAACCGGAGACGTTGAGCAAAATATCCTGCATTCCTCCTGGCTGTCCCGGTTGCTCACAAGGAACCAGAAAGCAGCAATTCCTTCTTTTACCTCTGGAGCTGCTGGGGTGGCACAGGTCTTCTCCAGCGCTGTTGTAGGTGGCAGCCAAAGTGACCAGGTCTCACGGCCACGGTCTAGACGTGGCTGCTGTGGCCGGGTCTGGGGGGGGTCACCGGGCCAGGGGGCAGGATGTGGCCCTGGGCTGGCACGTGAGCGCACGCGTTCGCACGTGAGGCCACTGCTGCGAGGGCTGGCTGGACGCCTCGAGCACGTCGCGCTGCCATGCGGCATGTGTTATGGGTTGGGACATCTCTTGGGACTGCAGAGGGTGCGATGTCCCCTCCGAGCGGGGGGATACCCCGTCCATCATGGTGCTGGACCCTGTAGCTCTGTGCAGAGCCCGGTGCTTTCAGCTTTCCTGTACCAGTGAAAGTTAAGCAGTGGAGGAAAAACGTTGCTGTATGTTATAGAGGAAGAGAGGTAAAAAGGGCAGGAAATTTGCACCATGTCCATTTCCCCTTGGCCCCCGGCCGCTGCTCATTCCGGATTCGGGATTTGCGTAGGCAGAGTTAAAAATAACAGGGGTATATAAAGAAGGACGGAGCGGGCTGCGCTGGCCCTGCAGCCGGCGGGGCACAGCCAGGCAGCAGGCAGAGATCAAAGCAGGAGGGGGGCCAGGCGTCGCGGTGGGGTTGGGAGCGCGTGCGGGGTCTGGGGGGATGCCGCCGTGCCACCGCGCCGGGGGTCAGGCTGCCCAGCTCTGCCCGCTCAGCAGCCACAGAAGACAGGGCCATGTACATGCCCATAGGCAAAGATGTCACCCCCAAGCCCTGTCTCTCCACAGCCCCATCCCTCCACAGCGTTTACTCCACAGTGACATTCACCAGGAGGGACCTGACCTGGCTCTCCTGGCCGGAGAGCTGCGTGGAAAGCCTGGATGTGGCCCCCAGGAGAGCACCCCATCCCAGGGCAGAGCTCCCCGCCGGTGCTGATGGGGTGCTGCCCACCTCCCCCAGCCCCCCCAGCCCTGGTCCTTGGCCGTGCATCCCGGTGCTCCCCAGGCCCGGGGCAGGCAGGGCGGACACAGCAGCTCGCTCGGCCGGTGCAAACGAATCTGCCCTCTGTGCCCTGATAACATTGTGTTTGTTGCAGAGCGGGAAGAGCCTGCCAGCACACGATAAGAGCAGATGACTTTACTCTGGACCCGCTCCGGATTGAATTATGCTTTAATTTCATTTTCGGTTCCTCTTTTCTTTTCAGGAGGGGAAGGGGTCTTGGGGGGGTGCAGGCAGGTTTGAGGGGTCCCAGACCCTTCTCCGGGCAGACCAGTCCCATTCAGAGGGGAGGACAGAGAGTAAAACCCAGAAAGATCCTCCTTCTGCTCTCAGGGACATAACCCTGGAGTGTCACAGTAGCATAGAGTGTCCTGCTGCGTGGGTCCCCACTGCACCTCCCCATGGGGTCTCCTGCAGTGCTTTTGGGGCTCGAGTTTTGCCTCCCTCTGAAGCAGAAGCTCATTGTGCTGTGACACCACAGCCCATGTTGGAGGGGCTCCACGGTTCCTGTTGGAGAGGGGGCACTGTAGATGCCCCAAAGGCAAATCTCCAGGTTCACTCCAAGCACCCAGCTACAGCTGACAGAGCACAGGGCAGTGGGGACACACGGGGACAATGTGCAGTGTGGGAGTTTTTCAGTCCCTGGTGTTTTGTGTGGTAGGGATGTCCCCTGGCTCTATTGAGGGTCCCACTGGGCAACCCAGGCACTGATGCCATCTCCAGCAGTGCCACGGTGCATCACCCCTCTGCCTGCCTCAGGGTGCTGTGTGCCATGGGGAGGGTGCCACGGTGCTGTGGCAGTGTTGGCAGGGCTGCTGATGCTCCTAGCTTGACGCAGCCACCTCCGGCAGACCATACTGGGCATCACATGCTCCTCCAGCATGCCTCCTCCGCTGCCAGATGTGCCAAGAGCAGGGATAACCATTAACCCTTTCCGCTTTGACCATCGCCTGCACAGGCAGCCCTTCCCACCCTCTGTTTGCTGTCCCGCCGGGCTGCTGTTTGATCTCCTGGGGTGCCAGCGACTTTACAGCCTGCTGTAGTGGCGCAGGAGATAATCCACGTTTCCTAAATGGCCTTCTGTCAACAGAGGGCTGTGAACGCACTGGCTGTTCCTCCTCACCCCTCTCTCAGCTCGGAGGGGGCTCCCGTAGCCGAGGGACTGGCAGGACAGCAGCAGGGACCCCCATGCCCGCCCTGCAGCTCACAGCAGGCAAATCCCTCCCGTGCTGCCTCCCCGGCTCCCTGCGCAGTCAGCGCTGGCAGCGCTTGTGTCGGTGCGGTGCCTGGCATGGTGCCGCTCCCCTCCGTGCTGGCCCTCCCACCACAGCATCAGTAATAAGGGTTTCCTGGGGAATATCCCACATTTGTAAGGAATATTGGCTGTAAATATGAACCTGATCTGCTGGCAGTGCCTTTCTTAAAATAAGCCAGCGCTACACGGGTGCGGACGCCAAAACTGCCTGAAAAAGGGGAAAACCAAGTGGAATTAGTGCTTGTCTCCCGTGGCATCTGCTCTCACTTATCTATAAAAGTTTGGGGTAGGAACTGCCTTGCTATTAATTATTATTTGGCCAAGAAACAAATAATGGGATTAACCGGTGACTTAAACAAGCTACTCTGGCGGCCAGGCTAAAAGGGATTTTGAGTGATGCCCACATACTTCTTTGCCACTCAGGAGGTGGCTTTTTCCGAGGAAGGACTTCACAGTCGGTGTGTTTCAGCCCTCTGGGTGGCATTAACAAACCCGCTCCCTCGCCGGCAGCCGGGCACGCGGGGCCCAGGCAGCGACCCAGTGTGTGCTCTGGAAACCAGGGCAGGGATTCCTGGTAAAAGGGGGAAGATCTGAATCGTTGTTGTTCCACTGGATTACTGAAATAATTTATTGCACTGCTCCACCCTTATAATTAAAGCGCGGTGATGAAAGCAACTGGTAGAGTAGCTTTGGATCCAGAAGCAGCGTGTGCGTGTGTGTGCGCGCACCTCACCTTTGGTGTTTATATTTGTTTTTTTTTAAATCGACTCCTCTCTTCTGAATAGCACAGGCAGCAGCCCCAGTTCTTAGAAAGGTATCTGGGGATGGAAAGCCCCAGAAAGCAGGGAGACGGGCTCCAGGAGATAAGGGCCATTGCTTCTTGACAAGCGCAACAGTAGCAGGGCCATTCCTGGTACTGGCTGGACAGGGGCCAGGCGGAGAAGGTCTCGCTGTGAGTGGGACAGGGTGGCAAAGAGCCCCTGGGGAGGCCTGCCCAGTGCCCCCGGGTCTCTACGCCACATCCTGACACGCTGGCATGGAGTGGAGTACCTAGGTGTGCCCCGGGAGGTGGGACATTCTGATCCTCTCACGTCCCCTGCCACGGGAAGCCCTTGGATGGACAGCACTGTCCCGGGGGCTCTGTGGGACAGGCAAAGTTGGCCAGTCGGCCCCGTGCCCTCCATGGCAGAGCAGTCAGAGGTTCGGCTGTGGCACCGGTCCCCAGGCAGGGCAGACAAACGTCCCACAGGGGCTGTGGGACGAGATGAGGCGACGCAGGCAGGCTGCCAGCCCCCCGGCAGGGTCTGCCGGGCAGTTATCTCGGTTCACACACGCACCCTGCGCTCGACCAGATGGGACCTGCTGCTCTCTGGGCTGCTGATTGCCCCACCGACAGCACCGGTGTCGGGGAACATGGCCTCACAGGCTCTGTCACATGAAGCGAGCGGTGTGGGGGCAGTGGGGCTCTGCCACCCCGGCCCAGCTCCCCGGCTGGCCCAAACACCCCTTGTGACAGCACCTTCGCCCACCGGTGGGCTCGGTGCTCCCCATGGCGAGCGCTGTGCCCAGCTCACTGCCCGGCATGCTCTCAGCTGTAACCCCGCACCAGACCTTCTCGCTCCTGTCCACGCACGCTGGCGTGCAACACGGCCATTGCCCCAGCCCCACTCGTGGCGGGGTGCCGGGGGGGGGACCCTGGCTCAGCGATCTACAGCCCACTCCCCCTCCCCGCTCGCAGCGTGGGGCGAGGCTTCAAGGCACCGCTGCCCCCCTCACATCGTGGGGACGGGCAGGAGGCACCCCGGGCTTTGCCACCCAACACCGCCCGGGCCGGCAGGATCTCCCGCCGTGGGGGCACGGCGCGGGAGCTGGACCCAGGCTGGCAGCGTGGGGCGGGACGCGGGGACCCCCCGCCACGCCG